GGTTGTATGTGCTTGCTGCTGCACCCACACTGGGACTGGTTGTCATAAAAGGCCGGGAACTTAGAGGTCTCCGTTAGCTGTAACTCTTTTTGAGGTAGTGCTCTTCATTCTTAAAACTAGGTAAAAAAGTAGAACGTGCAAGCTCAATCACTACCGTCATGAGTTAACACAGACTGCAATTTCAAAACTTATTGAAGAGAGAAGAGACACAGAGAAGGAGAGGCAGATGCTTAATCTAAGCCTTATTTCTGAAGGAAACTGAAAGCCTGGAGTGGTGCTGAATGGGAAGTCAGAGCAGCAGGAGCTGAGGAGCTTAGAAACAGCAGCAGGACTGTAGAGCAGAGCAGCTTAGATCAGTCTGGAAAGCCTGGCTGAATGCTAAAGACTGTACGCAGGTGGTATATACGAAGTGGAATACAACATTTTATGCAGCTGATAAAATTAGATTGCATAAGCAAATTTCAATGTGTCCCTAGCAAAGTGAGATATATCTCTTCAGCTCTGCTAGCTGAGACCACACCGCCTCAGCCTGCAAGCAGCTAGCATGCTGGGTCAAGCGGCCACCTCAGGATGGCACTTTGAGGATGGCCTCAAAATGCCTCCCAAAGAGGGGCAGAAGGAAAAGCGAGAGTAGCCCCAGCCTCCTGGTTAAAGTACTGCAGCAAATACTCAGACTCTCACCTGCACCCTTCCCTGCATCTCTGCATGTCATTCCCTCCTTCCACAGGGGATCCATACTATTTCTCTCCCGCATTTGCAATTGACCCCGGGAGTCTGTTCTGTACTCTCCCATAACCTGAACAAGTGTCCAAGACTGCTTTCCTGCTCCTCCCCTCCCGTTCATCAAATCCTGTCTATGCATCTGCCATGGATTTAGCTTTTTGCAACAGGAGTGGCAGAAGTTTGGGGCAGGAGAAGAGAGAAAGGGCTTTTTCCTGTATTACCAGCAAAGGATCTAGCCGTGCCATGTTTCAAAGTCCTTCAAATGAAAACATTTCTAAGATTAAAAGCCCCCAGGTGGTTCCTATCCTATCTAGCTCTTAATTTTGCTTTTCTAAATGTTATTGCTGCTTGCTGAGGTGGGGGGACAGAGTAAAGAAAAGGCAGTCAGTCCAGATTGTCTCGTGAGAAAAGTAATTGAGCAGGACTAAGGAAGCTCAGCAGTCATCCAACTGCACAGCTTCTTGTAAGACCTTTATGAAAAGCCTGAATGAACCCCTCAAATGAATGGCCATTTTGTCCCTTTTAGTTTTGCTCCTCTAGCACGGGACTCAATGTGCAGCTTGTGGATAGACAGATTCCACAATAAATACAGAAGGAGAGTAAAGCTAAACCCTCTGGAGCTTGGCCAGCAGCAATGTCAAATCTCTTGACTGATTTCCCAGGGAATTCTTGCTCTAAATGTCAGGAGAACATAGCCCTGCAGCCAAATCTGGACCAGACTGATACCAAGGCGTGACAAACCGAATGACCTAACTAACAAGATTACACTGTAGGAAAATTAAAACTTTAGAAATGTGCAAAGATCACATTTTAGTAAGCAGTGTTTTATTTAAGATCCTTTTAGTAGACAAGGCTTAACCCACATTTATAAAACATAAATTGGTGAGGGAAAAGGGATTTATTAGTGACAACAGAGTAAAACTTTCAGTCAGTCAGTAAAGAAAGGTCTGAGAGTTTCTGTAAATGTCCATGCTTTCTAAAAGGCTTACAGTCTGTTTTCAAATGCTCTTGTCAATACGAGCCAAGGGAGGTAAACAGAATTTAGTCTCCTAGGACTTATGAAAATGGCAGCTAACTTCCTTCGTCACTCGGGCACTTCAGAGAGTCCTTTTGGAGCTGCTCCTCCGAGTAGCAGCAAGCTTCCCGACCACTGTGAGTTACCTGCAAACCCTGCGTGGGCACTCATTCTGACATGGTTGGCAGGAACTTAAACAGTTTGGGGATTTTTTGATCCTCTGTCAGCTGTAGCTGAAATTGGCCTATGGTTTCAAAAACTATTGGAAAGGGCAG